CGCGATTGAGGCGATTGAACGGTGCCGCGTTAAACGCGAGAGTTCAATTTTTTCAACTCGAGCGTCAAATTCACGTGACGCGCTCTCGCGGAAGCCAATCAGCGGTGAGGATCTCAGCCTGCCGTCACTGACGTTCAACCACACAACATCAGCCGTTAGCTGTTAGCAGTTAGCACACAGAGCTCACAGCTCCTCATATCTGTTCAGAAACTGGACAAAAGTTAAACAAGTACAAACCACAGACTGTCTGTGTCATGGCGAATACAGTCGCTGCTTATTTATGTCTGTAGGCCGTTGTTATGAGTGTGGACGGAGCATATACAACGTTAGCTTAGCCTGGTCGACCCGATCTTCATTCAGAAAACAAGCATTTTAAAAGGTTTTTCTCCTGCCGTCTTGTCTGCAGACTTGTCAAGCATTAATTCATGGTTTTTACTAACCGGTATCAGTATGTTGTTACTTCGGCATCATTTAGAAACGTGTATTACAATTTAATCACGGTAAAATATGTTCATTTTGTTGTAGTTGTAGCTCCCGAGCCAGCGCGTCTTGTTTGAATGATGCGAGTAAACACAGCTGGCAGCCGCGGTGAAACTCCAGCGTTTAGAGCGATGCGAAAGGAGCGATTAGAGCGAAGCAAATATTCGCATCGCGTCCGGTGTGAACGCAGCATTAGGTTTATGACGTAATACTTGCCATATTAATCTCGTTCCTTTGCAGCCTTAATTGTGTATATATATCTTTTTGTAGCTAGAGCGAGCGTTTGGATGAGGTGCTGAACACTTGAAACAGACTTGAGAGGGGGAAAAAACAGTTACACAATCCATATGCATCTCTTCTTTCAGTAGACTTTGCGGAGGCCTTTTTCAAGATCAACAACCAAGCATACACCTCCTGCTCCGTCAGCGCCGGGGTGTAATTCCCACTTTGTTTTTGGGAACCTGTTGGCATGCTGACGTTTTTATTTATTTCTACTGTGCCTCTCAAGTGAAGCCTCACAGAGCTGCTACTGTAGCAACTCTGATAGGTGTGGCTAATGCTGTAATGATGCTATAATGGCTATGTTCCTTGCTGTGACATAGTGACTGCAAAATGTAATCAAAGGTGTATTCTTGATTGGGACGACAGGTGTGACCTTTTCACTCTTGTTTTGGTCGCAGAGTATTAAACCCAAAGCCAGGCTTGCAGGCTCTTAATCCGTACTAGGTGAACTGAGCGTAACAATTATATTAACTCACTGCAAATGTAAAGTAGCCATAGGGAAGAGGAATCATTTCTGAGCAAGCTGGCTTCACTGGAATTGTGTTTTTTATCAATAGTTTTACAAAATCAGTTAATACTAATGTCTCACTGTGTCATAGTATATGCGCCATCATAGCACTAACTTTACAATGTGGTTCTACTTCTTCATCTGCTTAAATATGAAAGCAGCGAGGGTCTAAAAATGAAATGGTGAAAGGCTGTATTGATAGCTAGTGTGGTAGTTAAGATCCCAGACCTCTTAAGATAATTTGGTTAAATATGTGTTTGTTGCCAACCGATTTCTTCTTAACTCAGAGTGCCTCTTATATTTCATATGTTTTTGCAGTAGTTTTAGTCAAATGTTTTGCTTTAAGCTGGATTTCCTCCGGGTTGACTCCTCAGCCCTGTCTGGTGACCTACTTGCCAGGAGCAGTGTTGCTGACTCTGTACAAACTGCACACCCTTCCTAATTCCTCAAGTCAAGAACATATTCAAAAAGTTTAGCAGGGAAGAAATTAAGACATTTGGAGATGCGGATTAGTTTGTATGAACACATTTTTAAAGCTGACATGTTCTTGCCCTCTGGTTTCTGCCTTTAGCCTTCTTATCCCTCTTACATGGCTGAGAGCGTAGAAGAATCTTTAAAAGTTGTCGCAAAATGTGGTTACTGCATCCCAGGTCCTTTGTTGTGCCATGCGTTCCTAAGTGCACCGGTTCATCTAGCCTTTCTGTCATTAAAAACGGTTTTCAACGTGTGTTTCGAATGTGCAAATAGGACTCATTGCAAACAAATGCATTCGCGCAGGCACATACTTTTTGTCCACTCCAGCCGTTGTTCTCTCAGAGGGGGACAGATTATTCTTTGTGTTGCTGATAAGGCTGGGTGTCTTTTGTGTCCCACTGTTTTTGGCTCTGCTACTTTATCTGTGCTCTGCCCAGGGTTGCTTTCTTTATAGCGTGTCTCACGATGGAGTTATATTGATTGGATATGTGGTAATTGAATGATTGTTGGGTGTATTACAGATTTATTTTGAAATGTTTTTAGATACAAAAGTGATAACATGGTAACTTTTACTAGTAGACATACTATTTCTGTACTTCAATCCAAACTTCTCATAATGTTTAAACAATTGTTTTTTCTTTATGATTGGAATGAAGGTCAGAAGCTCTTCCTCTTCCTATTGTAGCCTCTACAATATATTCCGTTTTCTTATACGATGCGACATTTTCTTTGGGCTCCGTCGTGTGGTTCTACAGAAGATTTACAAAACAAATCTTACACAGTAAAATACATTTACATATTAACACACAACTTATGTACATATGCACAGTTCGCCCATATACGCAGACAGACCTACTGACAATGGCGACCTATTGCACAAGCCTCATGGCCATCAGTTACATCTATATTGAATTACTTATATTGAGTGTTGAGAAGCTTCATGGACATATGCACTGGGGACGGAGAATGTCCCCTTACTGAAGACAACATATTTTCTGTCATCAGACAGCTTACACAGCCATTCTATAGATGAAAGCAATATGTCAGAGCAGTACAGTATTTGTATGTTTATATTGGCACAAGTTTGGGCTGTTTGGCATAAGAATATAAAACAGCCTTGTCCTTTTCATAATTTGGGACAAATTATCTTTATCTATGTTGATATGAGGTCTCAGGCTTTGGGTATCATGTTTTGTTTTGTATTGGAAATGTCCTGTATTGGTTTGGGTATTTCAGTTTCAAGCCTTTATCCAATAACCTGGACACACCCTGGTTGATTTCATTTGATGGGAATTCCATGAAACCTGAGAATGGGTGGAGGATGAGGTTTAGAAAATGTTATTCTTTGTGATGTAGTACATATAAAAGCAGCTCTCCTCTCCTCAGACTGTGAGTGCAGAGCCCGAGAGCCCATAAGTGTGTTGGCTCTCTCCCAAGGACCAGCATGCATTCCACTCAGGATGTAGCTCTGATTTATCTGCACTCATGTGTCTGTCAGTCTCAGTGAAATCAACACTGGTGGTAGATTTGAAATAGAACAGCACCACAAAATCCAGCTCTGTGTCAGTGTATGTCACATGGAGACCTACTGTAGGGTTAAAATCATGAGCCATCTTCTGCACAGAGGGAATCAGGTGACGTCGTACTGTAACAACACAAGTCTGTTGATTTGTGACTCCGCAAACAAACCCCCCAAGGCCGGTTTCCTCTCACTGACACCGTTTTCTAAGAAGGAGGAAGCTTTAAACTTTCATTTATCTTTCGAGCACTTCTCGCAACAAAAGAAGAAGTGCAAACTTGGTCCTACTTTTCTTTTCTAAGGTCTTTTTTTCCCGATAATAGTGTTGAAATGGAGTGAGAAAGGAAGCGGGATATGACATCCAACAACTTGTCCCATGGCTAGAATGAGACGTTGTGGTTCCAAGGCATGCACTGTAACCACTTAGTTAACAGGGCACTCTGAAATCAATTACACTTTTTATTGGCTTTTATATGAATGAAAACAGAAGCTCCTTCTGTAGCCTGACTCATGGGCTTATACAGTATTTACCATGTGAATTCTTTCATCAAGTGCCACAATGACGTTAACAAGTATGGTTTTGAAGGAAATGTCATCAGCTTTTGATGGATCGTGCTGTCCTTTTGCACAGACATTCCCCTGAACTAGAGTGGTGAACATGACAAACATTAACCTGATAAGCATCAGCATATTTAACATGCTGACTTTCACATGTAGCTTGCAGCCTCACATGCTTCTGGCATGTCTGTAGGCTTTCTACCATCATTTCCGATACAGCGGGAGTCACATCTCTTTCCAGAATTGCTTGTTTGATCCCTAGGGTGTTTCTGTGTCAGGCAAACGAATAATGTTGATGAAAAGATGAGTAAGAGGTCCGAACTCTGGGGTCTTTCCTTGTTCACACAGGGTGGAGAGCAGTCAGCAGCTCTGACTTGAGCGATGAAGCCATACAGTCATAGGAGACCAGGTCAACAGGGGAGGAAACAACCTGAAATCAACCTTACAGCTTGGGGATATTTGCTGTTGTGTATTACCTTTTTCTGTGGCGTAACTCTGAGGATTTGTAAAGGGGTCACTAAAGGTCACCTAGAGGCAGCTGCAGGATTCCTGAGAGACATACTACACATTCTCTTGTCCCTGTGTCACCACCACCAGCTATCACAAGAGACAGACTCACAGCCTTGAGTCATTCACTGGGACATAGTGCAACTCTTATCAGTATTAAATATCCACTTTGTTTTTAACCGTGAAGTCCAGTGCTGCATCCCAAGAGAAGTTGTAATGTGTGTTTATGACTGTGATGTCCGGTTTCCTTATGGATCTAAATGTCATAATAAATAGCTGTTTGGTTGATGAGTTGAGGGGTAGCCATGATTTTCATGAACTAAACTTCAGACGTGAGGTTTCCACTGCACACACAGTGCCATCTTCTGGCAGAAACACTACGCTGCATCATAAGCTTTCCAGCATTGGATCATCTGGTTGTTTGCAGCTCCTAAATCTGTTTATCCAGGGTGGTTTCAGGACAGATGATAGTTTATCCTGGAGTGACCCTGTGTTATTTCAATTGTTTTTTCCTTGTTCAATGGACATCTTGTAAATGTTAAAAGATGGTCCAACATACGAATGGACATCTTGTAAATGTTAAAAGATGGTCCAACATACCCTCTAATGAAATTAGTTCTTATTTAATACTGTTTATAAAAACTGTATCTTTTCCTTTTGTATTTTCTTTAGAGTGGACAAGACATTCAACAAGGCCAGGAGCTTATGGTGAGTGTTTATATTTTTCTTTGTGGAGTGATGTGTTTCTGAGTAATGTGTGCCTTATTTGAAGAATGTCCTTCCTTTGCATGAGTAACAATAAGTGGTACTTTGGTGTGCCATCATTTTGTTGATATAGTTTATTTTGTTAGTGCTCCATGACATGTGATCATGGTAATGTGCCAGATGAATCAATACATTAGCAATGACTATAATTATCCTAGCTATTCAAAATATTTGACTAGCTACACACCGGTTTGAGCAGGCCAATCTTTTTAAACGCCAGCTAAAGACACATCTTTTTTAGATGAGCTTTTCATTAGCAACCCCCCACTTTAAATGTTCTTTTAGTCTTTATTATTTACCTACCTTTATATTGTTTTATTTATTTTACATGTCTTAATCTTTTTATTTTGTTGTTGTTGAAATTGTTACAATTCTTGAGGCTTTCTGTAGTGGAGTTCAAGGTCACTGACTAAGCCAGTGGTTCTCAAGCTTTTCCTGTCATTCCCCACTTTGCTCCAATCAAATGGTAGGCCAAGCTTAACATTGTCAAATGTATCGTTCTACAACAGGGGTCTCCAACCTTTTTTAGGATGAGAGCTACTTTCAAAAAATAAAACAAGTCGTGAGCTACTTTTACTTCTCTTTTTTTTGTTTTTTGCAGTGTATATTTTTAGCACATTTTAACATTATTATATGCTTACCTTTAACCTTTGTGTGCTGTTTGGGTCTGTGGGACCCGTTTTCAGTGTTTACTAAAAGAAAATGTATTACATTTAATTATTTTAACCTGCTTTATTTGGGGGTGGACCTCACATCCTCTAGGGGGGTCCGGGGGCATGCACCCCCGGGAAGATTTATTTTTAAATGTTGAAGTTAAATGCATCAATCTGGTGCGCTTTGAGCACAAAATGAATTTATGGATACAGCTCTCAACACTCAGATTAAAGAGCTGTATACTTTTCAATAATCCAAACATCTTTAGAATATGATTACAACCAATAACAAATCATTTAAACTTGTTTATTCTTATCTTATGTTACCTAGTTAGCATTCTTTCTTTTTATTTATGCATATTTTACTAATCACTCATACTTTTAAACTGTTTTTTTTTTTTTTTACTGTCCTATAGTACACATTGGAATGATTACTTTATTTTTTACAACTAGGCTATATTAAATAGATAAAGGTGTGCTCTCTCTAGCTCTCTTGCTCTCTCTCTCTCTCTCTCTCTCTCTCTCTCTCTCTCTCTCTCTCTGTCTCGCTCGCTCACAGAGGCTGTGTGCTCCTCCGTGGCGATGTCGGCTTGTGTTAAAAAATGATAATACACATAGGCCTATTTGTAAAGTGGGGGCACACAAACGGGTTTTCGAAAAGTGTCACGGTTAAACTCCTTATGAAGTGGTGAGCTGTGCGGCCTGCACCGGTACCGCATCCGCTGCCGCAAACACCCGCCGTTGCGAGGCTCCGGCGGGTCCAGCGCAGCGGCGCTGTGAAAGTCCACCGCCGTTGCGAGTCCCCGACTGTAACAGTCCACTACCGCCCGCGAGGATCCAGGTTCGATTCCGGCCTGAGGTCCAAAAAATGTATTTAAAAAAATAATAATAATAATCTCCCGTTCATCGTGTCCATTCGCGACCCACCTATCACATCTCTGCGCCCCACACTTTGAGAAACGCTGGACTACGGCCTTGAATGTTTTAAATGTGTGAATCAGTCCAGCGAGTAGAGTGTAAATATGATGAATGAGCCAGTGGAGACAGCAGCGGAGAATCAGACACCCTGCTGCTGTCTCTGCAGTGCTGGCACAGGCTGTGAGTGGCACAGGGAGGCAGACAGGGAGCTGAGCATGCACACCTCTTGCCACTGCAGATAGACCTCTCTATTCCTGAAAGCTTAAGGTGTGGTGGCACGAGTGTCTGGCCCTCAAACCTGTGAGTCTGCCTGCAGCAGGTTAAACAGTGTCTGCCGCAGTATCATCACTCCATCCCTCTGGAATACAGAAGCAGGAGGATCTCTCCTACAGGCCTGCATTACTCAGCAGAGGCCGGGCTTGTTTGCAGGGACTGCAGTCTGGCTGTCGGGCGAACACTGCAGCAGACCGTATCAGAACAACTGCTGCTCGTGGTGCAAAGAAAAGAGGAGAAAGAGCACTTGGAGAATCTAAGAAAGGATACAAAACGACAAAAGAATTGTGGGCGTGACGAGGAGGACAAAGGAAGTGAGTGGATGAGAAGACATGACAGAAGGAGAAAGAAGAGAACAGTGTCACAAAATACATAGGGAGTTGAGCAGTGACTCACTTGGTGTTTTCAGCATTTTTCGTCACAGCCATGCGTGTCTTCAAAGCAAGGAGGAATTCAACAAACGAGGCCAAATGAAATTGGAGGATCCTTCCCATTGTGTTAAAAGAACTTGAATTATCTTACATAATCATCAGTGTTTATGTCCAGCATGAAGAACATATTTCTGTCAACACCTGTGGCTTTTAGAAAGGATTCTCACTCTGTCAAGCTTAAGGACAAATGCTAGATTTCAGTGGAAAAAACAAGTGGAAGAGCCAGAGACCAAATCTTACTCCAGGTACCGTGTGATGGACAGGAAGTGACTGGAAATTGGAAAGTGAATTATTTCCTCCATCGGCAAAACTGCAACAGCACAACTCAGCAAAATGCCGTGCTCACCTTTCCGAATTGGAAGGCCAAGAAAATGCTGGTGAGTTTCTTGTTCACCTGCTTGAAGATAGGATAACAGCATGCTTCCTCAAGCTAATGCTTCATAAGAGTGAAATATATCTCCATGATGCATGTATTTGTGCCCTTTACCAATACTCGAGAAATTATTATAATCTATAAATTAATTAATCAAACTTTATTTGTAAAACACCATTTGGAAATGTCTGTGATATTTAATGTAACTATTTCACCTAAAGCACATGAGAAATTAAAAGGATTAAAATATAACAATATAAAACCTAAAAATAATTAGAAGTAATAAATAAAATATAAAACTAAAATTAGATAAAATACAATGACATGTAAAATATATAAGGGGGAATAGAACACTTAATAAAACATTAGTTCTTAAAGGGCCCATGTCATGCTTTTCCGGTTATTGCCCATCCCCTTGTGTGTTATGAAGGTTTGTATGCATGTAAACGGTGTGCAGAGTCACAAACCCTCAAAGTACACCCTGTAGCGAGTAAAACTCTAACACAGAAAATACCTCCCCAAAACGCCTCGTTGGAGATACGTCACTGGCCATTTGATTCTTCCATTTCGTTCCGGGTACGGCATGATGTCAAGCCATACCCGGAACGAAATGGACCAATCCGTGGAGCCGTTACGTTACGTCCGCGGAGCCGTTATGTTAAGCCCCCGCTGATTGGTCCAAATTGACCAATCCACGGACTTCCTCACACACACATCTGTGTGCAGGGAGCAGGCAGCTCAGCTGATTTCTCCTCCCTGGCTGCAGGCTGATAACAGACAGTTGGGATCGCGGCAAAATTCTCTCTGCAGACCCATTCTCACAGCGTTTATCAACCTTTTTCTTACTCAATATCAAGCCACACTTATTGTTTTTACTTCGGATGTGAGTTTGTGTGTGCTCAGGATGAGTTTGGCTGTGTTTGGCTGTGTATCGCTAACAAGGAAACAACACCTCCACGGAGCTCAGCGCGATTCACAACGTCCCGACCAATCAGAGCACACTGTGCTCACAGGGAGGGTGGGGGCTGGAGCTTTTGGAGCTACAACGAGCCGTTAAAGGCAGAGAGTGAAATTCAGTGAATACAAGTAGTTTACAGAGATGCTGTATGAGAAACCAATGTGAGTTTGGAAAAATGCACAATATAAATCTATTCTAGTAGACCTCAACAATGGAATTATGATCAGTGGAAATGGCCATGACATGGGCCCTTTAAACAAAATGAATTACCATCAGAACAACCAATGTAAGGACTTCAAAACAGGTGTAATGTATTCTTTCTGAATCAATTGTAACTGATTGTTTAAAACCCATAAGGACCCACCGTGACACGGGTGTCACATGAACTTTAAATGTTCTGGAAAGTTCCTTATACAGCTTTAGCCTTTATTTTATCTCATGAAGTCCCTAAGTGACACACACTGAACAGTCTGGTGGGTCATGGTGGTCCAGGACATGTGATTTTGTGTTCCCATGACAACATGTCCAAGATGTCCATGTGCCAGGCTAACACATGTGAGAGAACTACTGTAGCTACATTTCAAAAGCTTTTTTTTTGTTGCTAAAGGTAAAATTCAAGCCATTTAAGAATTAAAATGCTTACATAACATGTCCTTTATTACATTTAACCTGTTGTGGAAACATTTATTGATCAAATTGATATGAAACAAATGAGACAAACATCGCGGTGACACTGGTGTCACATCGGGACTTTAACCCTAAACTTTCACAGTAAACCCGGAGTGACACATATGTACAATTAGAAATATTATTATGATCTGCTCAGTTAATTTAGCTGATTCAATTATATTGAGTTAATATGTTCTTATTCTTCAATTCAAATAATGTTCAAACTAATTTAAACCAAAAAATCATCCTCATTAATTAAGTTAAAAATAAGAGTTATTTTACCATTTAAAGCCCAATGTGACATATATGTCACATTTCAGATACTTGACACTAGGGGGGGTTTCTTGTCAGAAATGTGTTCTAGGTGGTCTATTTAGTCTAAATGATGTTCCCCTTAATTTTCCCAAAAGTAGAAATGGGTCCGGGTTCTTATGGGTTGGATGGACCAGATAGGAGAGCATAATAATAGACAAAATGCCATCTAGCAGTCTTTACTCATGTTTTAATTTTTTATGTTAGATGATATAAACATAATTTGTAGAGATACCTTGCTTACAGGAGCATTACAATCTAATTCTGAATCAAAGAGGACAACAACTTTTCTTGCTTACTGACTTGAGCCATGATGTTGAGGATTTATATTAGGACAAGTTTCTCTCTGTATAACC